AACTATCCTCCACTTCTTCTACCTTTCCTACAGACACATTGAGCTCTGTGAGTCGGGCTAAGTTGAGCCTGTGCTGTTCCTTCACCTCCTTTCCAATCTTCCCTAGCCTTTCATCAATTTCATGGACCTGTTTGACTTGTGACGCCCGTTCAAAGAGTGGCCTGGCCATTTCCCAGAGTTCCAGTGCCTTCAGTGAATCGGTATTCTTCTTGGATATGTCTCCAAGCCGGATCATGCATTCTGCTCTGCTGCAGTGGACATCCATTTGAGTAAATCCTTCCAAGGCAAGAGTAAACAGGGAAATTGCTGTGATTTCATCATTCTCATCGAGAAAGATGTCACCCAGAAATTGCAGGGCCTTGTGTGTTCCTAGTCTGTCTTCTGTCTGGAGGGAATTTGCAAGAAAAACTGTGGTCCACGAGGAAGGATGTTGTGATCCCTTCCAGCGACTAGTGTCTCCGAGGAACTCAAGACAGTAACTCACTGCTTCAGAGAAGTTTCCCCATGTCAATCGGAGACACTTGCAAAACAACAAACTTGACATATCCCCTTCCCGAAGGTTCAAACCTCCTTGCGTTATGTCGCATGCAGCAAGTAAGATTGGATTTTGACTCATTTTCCCGATGGCCTGGGCAGTGTCAATTTTCTCTTGAATTAGATCCTTTGACACTCCGAGGAACACCTCAAGTCCAGCAATATTTGTAAGTGGATAGCCTTGTACATATGGGTTATGTGTGGTCATCATCTTTTGGAGGATCTGATTCTGGATATTGTGTGCCTCCACATATTCTGATTTGAGCCGGTGAACCTCGGCCTGGCAGTTTATAAGGAATGATTTGAGTTCCCCATAGGATGCACCACACAGACCCAGAAGTGTTGTGGCCCTCATAACAAGAGAAATGCATTGTTTGTAAGCACTCAAGGTTTGCCAGCAAAGTGCCTCATGATATAGTCCATATGCCTCTTGGTACAATTCTCCAGAGAGTTTGGCCAGCCTCTGCGCCTCCTGGGCATATGTTTGCGCAGCAGCATTATTTCCACGCTGATGCTCAATTGCCGAAATTCTGTTAAGTGCACGGCATTGACCTTTGTAGTCTGTGTTTGTGTGTGCCAGGGAAAGAGCAGTCTGACAATGGGCAACAGCTTTGGGTATGTCACGGGTGTGTTGAGAGTAGTACCATCCTAAAGCACTATGAAACCTCGCTAGGAGACATCAGTGTCTTGTGTATGAAGAGTAGTATAAACATACTTTCAAGTGCAGGTTCATTAAAGTGTTTGAGGTGGTCCAAGACCTGAGTAATCAACATCTCTGGATGAGATATTGGATTAAATGCAAATGAATTGAACAGTTCAATAATAAAGTAAGTTTTCAGTCGGTGGTCATGTAACAATGGAAGGAGGTGGTTGATGTCTTTCATAAGAACAGTTGCATGCCCAATATGCCTCATGAATGAATTAAAATTACAGGCGCAGTAGATGCTCTCTGCCATATTGGGATGCTCCAACTGCAGGCCGCACCGAAGAACATTCTGGATGTTTGTAGAATTGGATGTTATCCTGGCAATTGGGAGAGCTCCAGATTCCTTGCCAAAGGCTGTCATATATAACTCCAAGAGCTCGTGAAAGTGTGTGAGGAGTGGTGTTATCATCTGGTCTGTTGGTGGTGAACATCTTCTCATAAACTCTCCGACAGGCACCAAAACTTTAAGACGTCCATGGTCATCGGTGTATGCCAAAGCAGTACGAAGCAATGCAGTTTTGCAGGCAGGGATATCCTCAATGGGAAATTTACTTTGCTTCAGTTCCACATCTGAGAGACCATCTGGGAGCATAGACAGGACTGCTAACAAATCCTGAGAATGTAGGATAGAGGTGATTCTAGGGCTTGAGAGTGAGAGTGAAATTGATAACTCCAGGTTGGATCGTTTGTCATGGCCATCTGAGATCAGGGAAGTTTTCTCTGTCTCCCAGCGAGACAAGATCTCGGTACAGCTTTCCATGTCCACCAGATGAGCCAGAAGACTGATCGCAAGTGGCATGTTGCCTGTAAGATGAAGGACCTGATCTATTTCCTCTATTGAGTGCCCATCATCTGCAATGTCAATGAACATCTTTCGAGCGGCATGCTGTGCCAACGGTTGCAAGGGCATTAAGAATGGTCGAGTCCACTGAACCTTTGCTGGTCTTTCTGCCCCTCGCATTGTGATCTGTGTCTCCATGAGTCTGATTCCTTGTGAAGAGGTAAATACACAAACCAACAGTGCTAGATCAGCTATATCTGTGAGAAGAGACAAGAATTCTTCAACCTCTTTGCGTGAATTGGCTGACTCCCATACTGTCTCGAGATTGTCCAGAATCAACAGAGTAGGTGGAGCATCGGAGAAGTGCTGTAGGACTGCCTGGCTTAGATCCTTCCCTGGCTTCATTCCAAGATGGGCTCCAATGAGACCCGCAAGTTCCACCTTGTTTGACGCAGTGTCACATGCAATGAAGAATCGGTTTCCTTGGTACTTTGTGATAAGCTCCTGATGGTGCAGAGCAGCCCTTGCCAAACTGGTCTTGCCCATTCCGCCTGCACCTAAGATAGCTATTCTTGGAGTGCCTTGGTTAAAAAGCTTGAGAATTTCTGCAAGCTCCGAGTCACGACCATGGAATATTCTGGGCTCTGCGGGTAGCATTGAAATTGAAGCAGAGCTGAAATATCTGTAGGCATATGAAATATATCGGAGGATTTAAATTCACCTTGTGTATGAGCTGGAATAAATCTGGAGAGCTGTTATTTCCAATAATTGGGGAATGTATCTGCCCACATACAGAGGAAACCGAATCTGAACCCAACATTGTGTTGACAATATCAAGTACTTCTTGGTGTCTAAGCTGAGCCTTTTCATACAGCTCCCTTGCATCCACCATGACATCTGCTATAGTCTAAGTCTTGGACTTTGCAAGTGGTGTGTTAGTTGAGATATGGTTTGAATTGAGGTACTTGCCTGGAAGAAACTGAGTCCATTCCGCAACCCTCCCTTGCAATCTCTGAGGAGGGCACTCAGCTCTCTCTGTTGGAAAAGCTTCTTGACCTTGCTGCCACTTTGTTGAGCCTCTACAAAGGTGTGAATCTTGTAGAGTGTCCTGAGTACATCAAGTCAAAGATATAAGTGAATGTGAGGATGTAACAGTACTCAGTGAATTTTGCAATCTGATTCAATGTGCTCGGGGGCAGTTCCGCACCAGTGTCTGACTGGATATATACACCAATAATTGCATTGAGAAACTTATGGGTGTGCTCCAGAAGCTCCGCACAATTATCCTTATCTTGTTTAACAGTCTATAACAACACCTCAGAGATACTCCAATACTGATTCAACAGAAAATGTACCTGCACCAATTCCAAAAGGGACTGAGTGGTCTTTGAAATAGCTTCCAGTGCAGATGTCTTGAGAGTGGCAACCAGGATATCCAGTGTGTTGACTGTAATAGTCAAACACTGTGAGATGCTGTTCAAGCGAACTTCAGCTATGTTGAGTTGGCGGGGCATGTTGGCAGCAGGTCATGGCATCTGAGACCCATCGGAGCTTTATACTGGGGGCCTTGGCCATTTTTCTCTGATTGGCTGTTCATCTTTAGATGTATGCACCTACAATCATTGACATTCCACCAGCGTCCTGGCATATCTGACAGTACTAATATGAACCACGGTCTGTAAAAAAATCAACTGTCCGTCAGGCAGCACTGATCATACAGCCAAAAAAAACCATCTCACCTACATGGGCAAAGATTGCCTTGAAACAGATGTGTCCATGACCATGCTTATCAGCGTGACTCAACAACTTTATTTTTAGGTTTCAACAGACTTTGAATATTAGAGCATATTCGCAACTCTTAGCCGAGATATTCGTAGGCCTCCCATTGGTCAATCTCCGCAGCCAATGGGAGGCCACCAAAATCGCGCTTAAAATCTATGAATCTCGTAGACAGACGCTACAACATATCTTGCTCGTACCTCATGTGTTGTAGCGAATATGCTCCATTCACACTGTTATCTGTTTCTCAGAATTTCATCTATTCACTCAAGACACCAATCGTTCGCATTTACCGCAACACCTAAATTTTCTCACCAAGAGGCACACCGCTAGACTCTCAATTTAAGCGGGATTTAAGTTAACTCCGTAATTCAAAGTATTGTAATACATGTACTGTACTATTACGACCAAAGGTTCAGGTGACGGGTGACGGAGGCTCGTGAACTGAACCGATTTGGCATGGGTGACGGTGACATTTCGGTTTTTTGGCCTCAAATAGCGGCGAAAGCTGTCAAAAATTGTCGGCCGGCACCTACCGAGACCTGCCGACCGTCCATTTATGGAAATTCCCGATATTATATTCCAGACCGCCGACATCGTCCGGGCGTGATTACATTTCACTACTGGGTCTTCTAGACCTCAGCGTACTCTAATATTTGTCTGGGTTGACCTTGCATCATCGCTGCCTTAGTCTCCATCTTGGTCAATGGCTGAGTTGACATTGAATGACCCAGTCCGATCGTCCAGGAGGGAATCTCACAGTTTGAGGTGTTTAACCCCCAGATTATGGAGCCTGGATTTGTAACTGCCTTGCTAAGTAAAAGCTAAATCCTGATCTTGCAGAAGAAAAAGCTTCGGCAGCCCCATGGCATGACCCAGCCCTGGTTCGAACAGGGGACTCCCGGTTGAACACGTTACATTACTGGCGACGATACAAGATGCGGGCGTGATTTCATTTCACTACTGGGTCTTAGCCTACTCTAATACTTGTCTGGGTTGGGTTGGGCTTTCATCCATCGCTGCCTTAGTCGCCATCTTAGTCAATGGCGGTGTTGACATTGAATGACCCAGTCTAGGAGGGAATCTCACAGTTTAATGTCTTTAACCACCAGATTATGAAGCCTGGATTTTCAGCCGCCTTGCCAAGTAAAAGCTGAATCCTGATGTTGCAGAAGAAAAAGCTTCCAGGGTCCCATTGCATGACCCAGCCCTGGTTTGAACAGGGAATTCCTGGTTGACACACGTTACATTACTGGCGACGATACAAGATGCGGGCGTGATTTCATTTCACTACTGGGTCGTACTCCTCACTGGCGGTGTACTCTAATACTTGCCTGGGTCGGCCTTGCTTCGTCGCTGGCTTAGTGCAATTCGTTGACGGAGATTTTCAATCCTCGCAAAGCCGACGCTGAATCCGAGTCCTGGTTTCGCAGAAAACAAAAAGTGAATTTCGCAGCACCAATGACCCAGCCCTGGTTCGAACAGGGGAGTCCCACGGTTAAATTAAACACATTACATACCGACAACACAACGTGGGGGCGTGATTTCGTTTCACCACTGGGTCTTACTCCTCACTGGCAGCCTACTCCAATACTTGTCTGGGTTGGGCTTGCATCATCGCTGGCTTTAGGTCCGGCCAATAGCGATGGACTGAGGAGGGGTGAGTTGACGACGTGTTGGACATGAAATTCACTGTCGCGACGCAACCACCGGATTAGATTTAAATTCCCAACCTTGCAAAGTCGAAGCTCCACCCTGTTTTCACAGAACAAAAAAGAACTTCCCGCCGACCATAGTAACCCAGCCCTGGTTCGAACAAGGGACTCCCGGTTGAACACGTTACATGGCGCCGATCATACAAGGTGCGGGTGTGACTGCATTTCACTACTGGGTCTCATTAGCCTACTACTCTGACACCTGCCTGGGCTTAGAATAAAGGACCCCCCAAAATCCCTTGCCAGCACATAAAATGACCCGCCCTGGTCCGACAACTTCGAACCGTGGACGTCGTTCGGCATCATTCATATAGGTTTTACGGGTGTATGATTTACCGCTGGGTCTTCTCTGTATTCCCTTCGCTGCTGTTGTTGACTCCGAGTCTTGCGGTACCTCGCGACTGAACATCAACTTGAACATGCCGAGATGAAGGATCGGCGATCATAGTATCAATCAGTTGGCATTGTTGACGGCATCGGACCGGGCTTGCCACAAACCATCATCCTCAATCCCGAACGCGTCCTCCTAACCCTGCCTTCAATATAAATGGACGACCTACCGACCCATGGCGAAGGACGTGCATTGAATGGCGCTGAATGTGTCTCTGTCAAGTCTCTGTGCTCGAGTGGTCGTCTCAGCGGCCCAGTTCGACTCGTGGAATATAGGTGCGTCGTACCTCTTGCATGAATGCTTTGTGTCTGACTGGCTCTATCTCCACGTCTGTGCTCCAGCGAATGTGCTTGCTATGTTAACTCACGCGCGCGGAGAGGCACCCACCGCCGAACGCGACTACCCGACCATGACCCCGACGCCGCAGGCTGCAAGAACTTTGGTTGGGGTGGGTCTCGTTCTGCATTCCGTCCCTAGGCTCTTGGATCTTGCACGGTGAGCGCTGCAGCTAACCGCGTCGGGTTTTGGTGCAGCAGGCACGGAGAGCCGGTCAACGTGGAGAGATGCGGCGACGTGCACGATGATTTCAGGCGCTCGGTGCGTTCTCCATGTTGTGTTCTAACGACCGGTCCCAATAGCCGTAGCAGCTCTGCCCGTGCCCCTCGGCGTACACCCCCACTCGCACTCCCAACGCAGGCCGTCGTCCTTCGTGATCGCAGCCGCACCACCGCGACCTACCTATCTACCTTGTCGCGCGCGCACCGTACGCATCCTTCGCGCTTGCCGCCCCTTTGCCCTTGGACTGCGAGCATCCCAGGTCATCGTCCTTTTGGCTATAACATCCTCGCGTAAAGGCCTTCGTGCTCCTACACTGCTTTCGTTTCCGCCGTGGCGGGTACTTATGATAGCGCCGTCGTCGTCGTTCGCTGGTGACCGCGCTTGCCTATGCGCCAGCGAGCCGCATCTATATCTACTGCAGTCTCGCCTATGCCGCGCGACAGTACTCTTGACCAACAATTCCGAATATCATCCTCCGAGCTCCACGCGCGCCACGCATACGCTAGCGCTGGCGCGACCTCCATGGACATCAGGAATACGAGTCCGAGTCGCGTCGTACGCATCGTATTTGCGTCCACCTTCGACGAATTGAATCTGAATACCCGCGGTGCTGCGACCTTCTTCCACCCTAATGCACGGCGGTGCGTACCGCCGCCGCGTACATATGCCCCCGCTGGTGGTGATGTGGTTTCTGCCGCCGAGGACACCAAGCAAGCACCCAGCCGGGCCCGTAGTCGTCGAGGATCAGGCGGTACGGGAGTCAGGACGCGGTGGCGAGGGGACTGGGGCTCGAGGGGCTGCTGCTGGATCCGGATTCGGATTCCCGCAGCCAAAGAAAGTACGCATCTACCTTGATGCGGGTTCTACAATCGCTTATAACTCCATAGACCTCCGTTCGCACACGCCAGCGCGTTGTCCAGTTCCCGATCGGGACGTGTCACCGCCGCGAACGCGGGCGGACGACCCCCTTCCCTTTCTTCCCTCGTACGATACGGCTTTCGCTCTCTAGTGCTCCGACTGCTCGCGACCGCTCCATTGGGCCGAGCCTCAGCTACGTGGCTTCAAATTTGGCTCGGCTCGCACGGTCACGGACACACCCCGCGCGCGCGCGCGTGTCCGTACCTATGCACCTATCCCAACCCGAATGGTCGGCAGCGGGGGCGGGTGTGCATGTTCCCTACCAAATCACGCATCCCAAGCGCCTTCAAGTTCATCGCGGCGGTGTGTGTGCATGCGCACGCGCATCCCTCCATTGTCATCCCGTATGATACATGCGCAGCCCTCCGTTGCTCATACGTCTTTCGCACCACCCCGAGCTCGCTTAGGCTTTTCGCGCGTCCTCCGCCCGCCCGGCTTTCGACTCCCAATTCCGCCCCTATGATACCTGTGCGGCGCCACGTACCCATACGTCCTTCGCACCACCACGACATCGCTTCGGGCTTTTGCGCGCGCGCACCATACGCGCCTTTCGACTCCACCTCGCCTTGCGTATCCCTTGCGTATGCTTCGACTGCGGCTTCGGCTTCGGAGCCTCGAACTGGTGCTGCTGCGACGACGCCGTGTAGCATTCAGGCGCGCGCGCGGGATTGGGTGGGTACGAGCTCGAGCGCACGTCGCTACAGCTGCTGCTCAGGGGGATGCTGAAGTACATCCGTATGCATCTTCCGTCTTCGAATGAGCTTGGGGCTGGGAAAAAAAGGCATTCTCTCGCTCGCTCATTGTCCCCGTCCCCGTTTTCGGCGGCGTGCGGTGAAGTCGAGCGCCGATGGGATCGTTGCGGCTCGATGGGCGAGTGCGCACGCGCTTTCCGGGTTCGGGGCAGTCGGCGGGGCTTTGACGACCTACCCATTCTCCCCGGTATCGCAATTTCCCCACGTACCTTACCTTCAAAGCGACGCGACGTGCAGTACCCCTCCGCGCGCGCATGTACATCTCTCGCTCTCCCGATTCGCTGTGTTTTTCGGGCGCGACTACAGGTTAGGGTTAGGTTTCCCGCTTTTCGACTCACCCTCATCCCATCCCATCCCACTGGCATCCCATCTCGTTTGGACGCAGTGGACGCGGGCTGTGTGGGGCTGCACGTCCCTAGGTGCTGCCTCGCGGTCAATTCTGCTTGTCGAAATAGGAGTGCGGATTTCAAGCGTCCCACTTCTGCCTCAAACGCGCTGCTCCTCGCCGCGGGTGTCCATTGTTACCCCAGCCCGCTACTCGCAGTATCTTCCGCCCGCGCGAGTTGGGCTGCCCGCCACTCTGCCCTACCCGACCGTACCTGCCGTGACGGCCATTCCATGACCATCGCGCTGCTGTCAGCGCGCAGCCCCAGAGCCTTTGACGATTATGTTGCCGCCGCGTGGGTCGTTTCGGTCGTCGGAATTTAGGCGAGGTGTAAGGGGAGGATGCGTTCGGGCGGGGGACCAGTTCTCGCGCCTCACACTGCGCGGCGTCGAGACGTCGAGTCTGGGCGTGCGGAGCTGGTCATCAGCCCTCAATTGGCTTCGTTGGCCTGCGGTCCTGGCTTACAGTGGTTCCCGTCCTCTCGCGACGGTAGCGCCTCCCTCAAGCTTTCCGGCAGTACATCTTTTCCGATCCGACGCATACATTTCCAGCCTACCCCTTATATGCGACGCACATCTCCCTCGAGACGGGTGTACGAGTATGCGGGATATGTACCAGCATCTTCCTCGGCAGCGGCGGCTGCGCGCTTCTTGCTTGCTTTGTTTCCGCGGGACGTGCGTTTTCCGCCCGAGAGTGGAAGTAGTATAAGGTGCGCGTGCAGCTTCGAATTTACATCCCTCGCCTCATGGATTTCGCAGCGCCGCGGGAGTGCGTACCCAGCCGTGCATGCGCACACACGCTCCGCCGTCGTTGAGCGCACCACCAGTCTTTGCGTCGATAACGGACGAGGGGCTGCCATATCACGGATCCCGAGTGCCTTCATCGCGGCGGTGCGTATGCGCGCGCATCCCTCCATCGTCGTCCCGTGTCCTCCCAGGTGCTGCTGCCCCTGGACCGCCGGATGCTTCGTTTTTCGTCGTAGGGATTTTAGGCGCCCTCGGCGCTTATTCTGACGAGAGGAGGATTTAGCCTACGGGGGCGCTGCAGCCTGCTTCTCGTGCGGTTTTGGGACGGCCGCGCGCAGAGGATTTCTTCCGCCGAGTTCGAGTCGCGCGACGCTCAGGTACCGACGTCGTACATCCTTCTCCTTCTCCTTCTCATTTACGATTCCATTAGTTTCCGTTCGCTCATACATCAAGCTCAAGCTCCAGCGTAAGGTGGACCTCGCTCACTGTCGTCCGCTCTGTGTCTTCGTCCTTGTACTGTGTTGTACATGGTGCGGCCTCGAATTGGCGATGTGGTGGGGCAAGCCCCTATCTTTACCGGGGCCGGAAGGTCTCTGCTGTGACGCTGGTGGATGTTGTGGGAGAAGGAGGATGTGAGGCGCGTATCCGGCTCTGCTTCCCTCTGACGTTACTCTTACGATTTGTTTCGCGCAGCAGCTGCTTTCGCCGTACCAAATTATAGTAGTATTTCTGCGTCTAGGGTGCGCGGCTGCATACAGCGCTGCTGAACACGGCCATGGCTGTCTCTGCACGATCGCGACCGCCGGCGCCCATCCACCTCCGTCCCTTCTTTCCACCAGTTTCCCAAGATCAGCTCATTTCTCTCTCTCTGCGTTGGGATTTTCGGCGCTCGTTGCTGCGGGCAGCTGTTTGTATCGAATTTTCAACACCAGAGCCTTCACCAGGTCGGGGGTATGTGCGCAGAGGTCTACCCTCCTCTTACAGGGAGTACTGGACTCTTGGTCCGCGCTGCGACGCCAAAAGCTTCGTTTGTGCGTGGTCAGGGTTTTAGGCGCGCGTGTGGCCGAATTTTCGATTTCGACATCACTGCCTTCGTGGC